TTATTCAAATTTGAATTATTTGAACACCTAATACATAAGGCTCCAGGCCTATGAAACGTCGCCGTTTTATTACTAGTGTTAATGGCGGGTCACCAGAACTTTTTAATATAAACCATAATACATAATTATGCTACGCATTGCTGGAAAATGTATCAACGATTTCCAATTATTTTAATAATACAATATCAGATATGGTAGATTATGCTGTCTACAGATAGCTAAGGTTAGGATTAGGACTATACTTCATGTTAACATGTTAAGATTAGAGTTAAGGTATAGGTTTATATGAATAATTCAAGTGTTAGCCTAAAGAGTCTAACCACTATTGTACGCGTAAGTATATTAATCTTATTATACTATCTTACATAGAACTCCTTCAGAATTAACTTATTTCGAAAATAAGTAAGAGTTTAAAGATCTTAATTCTATTTTAAAATTTCGAATCAATAAATTAAATCATCGTAGCTGGTGATAAAATCAACACCTTTGGACAAATATCTACCAGTAAGCGATTATGTAAATAAGTACGCACATATTATAATAAAAAAATAGATTTTACTCGTCACATATTTTGGAATAAATATGTTACTTATCAGTTATTTTATTTGAAATCGGACGTCGAATCATTAATTCTGAAACCCCATTTCAGTATTTGTGTATCAAAATTTTGAAATCAGAAAATGAAACGGGAGTGCTTGGAGACCCCCATTCAACGAAGTAAACTTTTCAACCCCCAAAGATCATCATTTTAAAGTTATCAGAAAATGAAATAAAGATTATATATCGTTCATTTGAGAAAGAATATGCTATCTATTTCTGTCAAAATTAGATTCCCCACGTTAATTTTGAAACCCCCTATTGGATTTATTATGAGCTCAAATAGCGATTAATGGAACAAATAGTGATTAATGAAACAAATAGTGATTAATGGAACAGATGGTCAATAATGATTATGCTATTATTATGAACTAAGTCGTTTAAATAAAATAAAGTTTATTCGTAAAGCATAACGGATTTCAGAAATAATGAATTTGAATAATCCTATTTTATGATAGCGATAGTATTATCTAATCTGTGATTTTACAATATAGAACTTCTATTTCATTTTCTAAATTCGAAAGTTATAAGCACAAATAAAAATTTTTAAGCTCTCACTTATTTTCAAACTCCCGATTGTAATATTCTATAATTGGAAATCACGAATTCTACGTATAATTTACACAGAAGTTCCAAACTTTGTAATCTGCCATTAACGGCATGATCTGCATTATAAAAAAAGATCAAACATTTCGGCTGGAAAAATGACTGTTCGATATGGAAAAAGACTCAAAAAGTGTGCACTGAAAAATAAAAGTATAAATAACATCTTTTTCACATTAAATAAAATGCAAATTTAACCAATATTTATAATGTTTCTATAGTGCTATTCCTTTAATAAGCACACTTCCCACTTTTAATTATACTATACATCTTGACTTTACTCGATGACTCATGTACATTGTTACGAAAAATTTTGATAAATTTTCTTTGCTAGTAATTTTCGTTATGTAGTTTCTTTATTTTCCATATGTAGTTTCTTTATTTTCCATATGTAAAAAGCAGTAAAACGTAGTAACGATAGTAATAACACGTGTACGGGTTTGGAACCCGGGTCCGGGCTTGAAACCCTGGATCCGGGTTTGAAACTCCAGATCCAGGTTTGAAACCCTAGATCCGGGTTCGAAACCCTTGCATATCGAAATGTATAAATATGGCGCTTGTAACTCTTTCTGCTAGAATAAAAAAATTTAATAAATTAAACTTTCCCACCTGACTTGCTAATAGGAAGTGACCCGTTGGTTCCGACCTTGCTTAATAAGTGGCAAGTGGTAACTAACTCGAACCTAAACGTAGCCGGTACCGACCTGACTCGAACCCAAAGTAACCTAAGCGTAACGCTGAACTAAATTGGCCTGAAAATATAAAAGCTCCCCAAGTCGTAACAGCATTCATTGTTAATTTAATATGCATCCATCGTTTTTATTTATATAAGGCAATGTTTCAGCAAACATAGAACTTATATGTATGCTATTAAATTATACAGCATTTCCGCTTTCAATATACAAAAGTTAAACAAATAAATAAAGTATAAATATGAAACACAATAGAGAAAAATGCGTAAACTGCAATAAAAAAATTTACTACGATAATCTATGTTATAGTTGCTATTACAAATCAATTAAATGTGTTAGCTGTAATAGAAAGAGAAAACTTAACTATGAGAATAATAAGGCTGCTATTCTACACAATTGCAGAATGTTGTTAGTAGCGGAAATCAGGATATTGACAATTTGATCAAAGCAACATACACGAATCAACTTAACTTTAGATTAGAATGGATACCATTTAACGATTTTACAAATATAGCCCAAATTGGAACTGGTGGTTTTAGCGAAATATATACCGCTACATGGACAAAAGGAAGAATAATAGGTTGGAACAACACAACAAAAGAATATAATAGAAGTAAAGGGGAAACAATTGTGTTAAAAGTTCTTAAAGACTCCCAAAACATTAGTTCAGAATTCTTAAAAGAGGTAATATTGGATAAACTTTATTTTAACTATGATACATTACTCTAAAAATTTGTCATTTTTTTGCTGCAGTTACAAAATATTGTTAAAAGTCAACCTAATTCCCATAAACGTTACCTTATTCAATGTTATGGAGTGTCGCAGAATCCAAAAACAAAAGATTATATTTTTGTTATGCCTTATATGTATTATGGAAGCCTAAATAATTATTTATCAAATAATTTTAAGGATATTACTTGGAAAGTGAAACATTCCTTACTTATAAATATTGTTATAGGCATTAAATGGATTCATGATAATAAAATTATACACCGCGATATACACGATGGAAATATATTAATAGGTCAAGTGACGGCTAATAGATCTGGCTCTTTAATTGCAGATTTAGGATTTAGTCGACCAGCAAAAGATGATCTGGAAAGTTCAGAAGCGAAAGTATATGGAATCATGCCATATATTGCACCTGAAGTGTTAATCACAAAGCAATATTCATTTAGCTCAGATATCTACAGTTTAGGAATGATTATGTGGGAACTTACATCTGGAGTGCGTCCTTTCTGTGATTTGGAATATGATGCACATCTTATGTTCAATATATGTGATAAAAGATTTCCGTTACGACCAAATATTACAGAAGATACGCCACGATGTTGGGCAGTTTTGATGCAAAAATGTTGGCACCCAGATCCTTTAGAGAGGCCATCTATTAATGAAATATATAGTGAAATCAGATCTAGATTTTTTTGGAAAATAGATAAAATTTTTATAGAAGCTGAAAATAAACGAGAAGAATTACTTAAGTCCGGGCAATTTATAGCAAAATATATGCATCCTTGTTCTAAAACACACAGTAAATTATTAAATCCTACAATAGACTTGATGCTTTCATTATTTCAAAATTCATCAGGCTCTACAGATACTTCTCAAAATATTAGTATTTTTCATTAAATCTTACGTAAGTAAATGAGTCTATCATTGTATTTTTTAAAGAAATAAATTAGTAACTACTTTAATTAAATGAATATACAGTACTGAACTCCTTAAAAATGCTAACAATCTAAATTCAACGATAAACCTATCAAGTTCAAAAAAACACACTATTGAAGACAACAATAAGGATAGTAAGTTTAAATTTAACATTAATTATTTTATCAATTTATAATATATTACTAGACTTACTTATGATACTGTCTTGTTAAGATGAAATAAAACGAAGAAAGCTATTTAATAATGGTATGTATTGCTTTAATTATTGAATACTTATTGAATTAATATTAATCTAACCATTTAACATCATTAACCCGCATTATTACTTAAATATGAACCTAATTTCAAAATGATAAATTCATATATACAAATTCACATAACTAATTAACAAGAAATGCCAGATTCAAAACCTAATACCCTATCAATAACTGAAGCCATTTACCAGATTACCATCTTGAGCAACCTAAATTTGAACCATGATAAGAAATGTGATGAGGCAGGAAAGGCTTTAGCGGAAGCTTTAGACGCAAATCCTACCGTAGAATATTTGGATTTGAGTTCAAAAGAACTATGCAATGGGGCAGGTCGAGGGATAGCTAAGGCATTATGTACCAACAGCACACTTGTTGATTTAAATTTGGAAAGAAACTATTTGACTGACGAAGCAGGAAAAGCACTGGCTGAAGCTTTATTTGAAAATACCACCTTAACGAATTTAAATTTAGATTGTAATGGTATAGGTAATTCAGGAGTAAAAGCACTGGCTGAAGCT